TGAGCTCGTCGACTTTGCTGCTCGCTGTCGTCTAGACTACGCTGCTAGTCTTGTTGCTGAGTCTGAGTCTGTCTGTCCTCCGTCCGTCGGGGGTGAGTGTGCCCTTGGCACGGACGTCCTTGAGGACAGACAGGAGGAGTTCCAGTGTTTGGCTGCTGCTTCACCTCATCTCGTGTCCGTACTGCTTACCCCTGAGGGAGACCCGGATGCACTTGACATCCCGACTCCGCGCTCTTACGCGGAGGCGATAGAGGGTCCCTACTCCTCTCAGTGGCAGGCAGCTATGGACGCAGAGATGGCTTCCTGGAAGTCCACAGGCACCTACGTTGACGAGGTCCCCCCGCCTGGGGCGAACATCGTCAGCGGCATGTGGATTTTCAGGGTGAAGCGGCCGCCGGGTTCTCCGCCTGTCTTCAAGGCGCGTTACGTGGCTCGTGGCTTCAGTCAGCGGCAGGGAGTTGACTACTTTCAGACCTTCTCTCCCACCCCGAAGATGACCACTCTTCGGGTACTGCTGCACATAGCTGCTCACCGGGACTACGAGCTACACTCTCTTGACTTCAGCACTGCTTTCTTGCAGGGCAGCCTGCACGAGGAGATCTGGCTGCGCCGCCCACTTGGCTTCACTGGGACTTTTCCTCCTGGCACCCAGTGGAGCCTCCGGCGGCCAGTCTACGGTCTCCGCCAGGCACCGCGTGAGTGGCACGACACACTGAGGACTACGCTTGTGGCTCTTGGGTTTGCTCCCTCTACTGCCGACCCGTCGCTGTTTCTGCGCACCGACACTTCTTTGCCGCCGTTCTACATCCTCGTGTACGTCGACGACTTGGTCTTTGCCACAGCTGACACTGCTGGACTCGCCCACGTGAAGTCCGAGCTGCAGAAGAGACACACGTGCATAGACCTGGGTGAACTGCGCAGCTACCTTGGCTTGCAGATCACCCGGGACAGAGCACGCCGCACCATTACCCTGACTCAGTCACACATGGTGCAGCAGGTCCTTCAGCGCTTCGGCTTCACGTACTCCTCGCCTCAGGCCACTCCTCTGCCTACTCGCCACTCGCTCTCAGCTCTGCCTTCGGATGAGTCCGTAGACTCGAGTGGCCCGTACCCAGAGCTTGTTGGCTACCTCATGTACCTGATGACCTGCACTCGACCTGACCTTGCATACCCTCTTAGCATTCTCGCACGCTATGTTGCTCCTGGGAGACACAGACCGGAGCACATGGCTGCAGCGAAGAGGGTGTTGCGCTACTTGTGCAGTACGTCGGGCATGGGGCTTGTGCTTGGAGGGCAGAGTCCAGTGGTCCTCACTGGGCACGCAGACGCTTCTTGGGCTGACGACCAGGCTACGCAGCGGTCGTCACAGGGTTACACCTTCAGCCTTGGTTCCGGCTCTGTCTCGTGGCGGGCTACCCGCTCGTCTTCTGTTCTCGGCTCCAGTTGTGAGGCTGAGATCTACGCAGGGGCCATGGCTGCACAGGAGCTTCGCTGGCTCACCTACCTGCTGACTGACCTCGGAGAGCCGCCTCGTTCTCCTCCAGTGCTGTACGTAGACAACAAGGCCATGCTGGCCTTGTGTCGGGAGCAGAGACTGGAGCACAGAACGAAGCACATTGCTCTTCGCTACTTCCTTGCTCGTGAGCTACAGCAGCGTGGTCAGCTACGCCTTGCGTACGTGGCCTCTCAGGCCAACACTGCTGATATCTTCACCAAGGCACTTGCGCCTTGTGATCATCAGCGCTTCTGTACTCAGCTGGGTCTTGTGCCTACCTTGCCTCACTTGCTCACCCCTTGACCTTGTTTGTACTGTTACATATTTATATACACCTGCTCTTGCTTGTTTAGCCTTATATATATATGTAATCCTGCATGTGAACTGGCCTTGTGGCCTTGAACTTGTGCTCGGAATGTGTGGTGACGTTGTGATCTACCCTGAGCTTGCTTTGCTTTACTTGACTGGTCTTGTGACCCCTTGTCCTCCCCCACTTTGCCTATGGGGGTGTGTCAGATTTATATGACTTACCTGCTGTAGGCTATAGTGGGGTAGCACATATGGGGTACAGCTTTCTAGGGTTTGCACTTGTACCCAACTTTCCCTTAGTCTTTTCATTCCTCGTTCATTTTCACAACATGAAGGAGAAGAACTTCTCCATCATACTTGGGTCGAAGCCTGGTGCTTGATTTCCGGGAGTTTCGGTTGACTCCGCAGCTGGTCTCGTTCCTATGCCTTCTTCTGTCTGTAGGCCAGAGGCTGGAGGTGGAGTAGGAGTAGTGCCGGGAGATCCGTTAGAGGAGCTCCTCTCCTTCTGTGTTGCCATGACTTGCGTTGTTGTAGGTATTTGAGAAATCGATCTTGCCCTGTTTGCTCTCATACCATGTTGGGCTGAGAAATAGCCCTAGGATCTTTCAAGGCTTAGATCAGTTGAAGTAGATATGTTGTATTTGCGGAAGCGTGATATCAGAGTTGCTGAACCACCTTGTACTAGTGTGTGAGAACAAGATGAGTTGGTAATAGCAAGGGAATACAGGGCTTTTATATGATTACAAAGGAATATAAAGAGTTCTATTTTAACTGTTTTCTGCTGTTGTGGTTCGATACAGTGCCGACTCGGGTAACTGCTCAGTGTCGAGTCAGTTATGTGTCCTTGCTGTCGTACTGTATTTTTCGTCGAGTCAAAGGTCAGCGACCTTTGTCCTTCGCGTAACCTCCAGTGGTTGCTTTGTTGACGCGTGTTGCTTCACTGTAGTCTGCTTCGTTTCGTGTTGATACTTCGATATTTCAGAAGCGTTTAAGTTTACTTGTTTCCAACAGATATCAGCCTTTTTACGTTGATTTAGCGTTAGATCAGGGTTTTTTTTGGTACGGTACTTTGGCTGAACTGGAAGTTTTCTTCTATGTCCCTTGGCTGATTTTTCAGTGTTTTTTATTATGAATTGGCTGAATTTTCAGCCTGAATGCATGAGTGTAGGCTGAGCCATCAGCCTTGTATCGGGGGTGCACACTGAAACCGGCAATACAGGGATTTCCGCCAGCCTGGCGAAGTGTAGGACTAACACCGCCAATCACAGGCGGGAAACCAAATTTTCCCGTGCACGTCACCACAGCAATGCTGTAATCAACTGCAATTCCAACCAATCGGGGCTGCGTAGCAGGCAGCATTGGCAAGATTCCTTGCCAACGCATAGCTCGCAGCCCGCTGCTCCTCGGACGACCCCACATCCATCCACCCCACCCCACCTTCCTCCTTGCCAATGCATAGCTCGCAGCGCGCAGCTCCTCACATGACACCACAACCATCCACCCCACCCACCTTCCCTGCATACACGACCAGGTGACGTGCATGCAGGGACCAACAGGGAGTAAGAGGTCCTAATACGAGGACCACTTCTCTACCTCATCGCCACCGTTCCAGCCAGTCCCTCTGTGGCTTGCATCTCTCGCTTCAGTTCAATGCCCTCGCCTGAAACTACTTCCTGAACCCTTGTTTCAGGCTCCTTCTCACGACCTTGCAAAACCACTGCTGGGCAGACTCAATGGCAGCCACTGACGCTGCCGTTTAAGGGCCCGACGATGAAGAGGATGCTGATCGTCGCCCTGTATGCGACATGGTGACTGGCCTAGACTTTCTTAGATCGGCCTTAGAGACGCCTCGTGCACCGCCAGCGCCACCGTCGCAACCCAACTCGACTCACGCTCTGGATTTCACGCACTTAGAACCTCTGCCCGAGGCCACCACTGAACCAGTGTCTGCTGCGCCACCGACGGTGATCCTTGAGGCGTCCGTCAAAACACCATCCAGTCCCGCGCCACCGGCGAATTTGCGGTACCGACAGTCCACCATTGCATGGGCAAGTCCACCTCCTCCCTCGACTGTTGAAGCTCCAGCGAGCGACGAATCTCCCGTGCAGGACAGCTCGAAGCCCACTCCCGAGAGTTTTGAGTTGAAATACGAAGAAGCTCACGATCGTTACAAAACTAAGTGGTGTACCGATTACGCGTGGCTGATTCTTACTAAAACTTCTTCTGGTGCCCCTGCTTTTAAGTGCAGCATATGCTTGGAGTTTGCTGGAGTGACAAGCAAGTGTGGACAGCGTGGAGAAGGAGCTACCGACGTGCAGACGCAGGCCTTCAAGAAACATGAAGGGACCGTGAAGGATCGGTTTGCGCTGCAGAGGCAGGAGGATCTCTTGCACAAAGTGGAGGGACAGCAGCACATCGATCTACACCTGAAAGCGCAGGACAAGGAGCTGCTGCAGGTTTAGGCTCTTATGGACTTGTTGTACTTCATGAGCAAGTGCAACGAGCCCATGGACTCGTATATACGGCTGGTGCGGTACTTGGCGAAGAAGAAGGTGCCCGATTTTCGAGAGCAGGGGTACGGCACTTACTACAATACGTAAGTATATTATGTTTTATTTATTGTTTTTACATTCGCTGTATGTCTGTCGCTTATTACCGTGTATTTTCTTTCCAAACGGGTACGGCTTTGGAGAACTCACTCAAGCAACAGCGACATGGCTTCAAACAACGCAGTTGGAGCACCTTCTAACGAGCCCCTTCATTGGGATCACAATCGATGAGAGCACCGACAGGCGACGCGGCAAACACATGATCGTGTTTGCCATCTTTCTGCGCGACGGCGCTGTCGTCACCGAGTTTATCGCACACCTAATTTTTGAGAAAGCTGACGCTGCTTCTTTGTCAAGCTTGTTGCTCTCCCACCTCAGGGCAGTGGGCGTTGATCTCTGCCGTGTCTCGAGCATGAGCACAGACGACGCAATGGTGATGGTGGGGGCCCATAGTGGAGTGGTTGCACGTCTACGGATGCTCATCCCCAACCTCGTCTCATTCCACTGCATCGCACACCGGTACGTGTGCTGTTCTTCTATGTAACAATGTATAATAATTCACGTACACATCTAATTCCATGTGTTGTATGTTGGGCAGAGAAGCATTGGCTGCGAAAGCTGCAGCAAAGGACATCCCAACCTTCAACATGGTCGTCGACATGATCCGCGCCGTCGCCGAGTACCTGGGGCGTTCTGGATCGTGGCATCAACGTTTCATGGAGCTGCAGGAGGTATTCACGGCCACAAACTTCGAGGTGCAAGGGATACACGAGATTCGGTGGCTTTCGAGGGGTGCTGCCGTCGCGCAGTTCGTCGAAGTCCTGCTCGCCATCGTGGTGATGCTGTCAGAGTGGAAGGACCAGATCATGTACGAGCTCATCACGTCATACCGATTTCAGTTCCTGCTCAGGTTCCTCGCGGACGTTCGGGAGCTGCTCAACGTTCTCTCCAAGGTTTTCCAGCAGCGGGAGGAAGTATATGATATGTTTATCGGACAGACACGTACCCGTGTACTAACTTACTGTTTGACTTGTGGGTGGCAGCTCGACTATACCTTGGTGCATGCTCAGATTGTGCGCACAATCTCTCTCTTGAAGACCCAGTACATAGTCTGTGGCGACGAGTTAGGGGGGGGGGGCAACGAGCAGCTATTCCAGTTCATTAACAATCATGGACCAAATGGGTCACCAGAGATGGTGGTGGAAGGAGCGTCGTCTGATGGCAGCCTCAACTGCTTCACCTTCACCCTCCACGAGCGCAGCAATGCGTCTTATCATGGACCAGGTCATCACCACGCATGCGTGGCGCTCTGGACCGACATGGCTGAGCTCCTCGTCCAAAACCTGCAGGCAAAGCTTGGAGACCTTGACTATCTTTCCAGCGTAAGACTCTTCATCCTGGACTTGTGGCAACCGAACTGGGAGCGGCACGCACGGCAGGCACAGTGCCTGGAGTGGCTGTTGTCGCTAGTCACTCTGTTTCGCGTTGATGACTCCGACGAGATCCTACCAGGTTAGTTCGTGCTTGCTAACTCGTTCGACCGTATTAAACCCGTTATTTACTAATCTCCCCCTTGTTCTTACCTCGCAGACATTGACAAGAAGCGGGCTGTGAAGGAGCTCAGGACTCTATGCCCGGTCCTGGCCAGAGCTCCTAAGAGCGAGGGTAAGTTCCACACGGGACTGACTGCAATTCTCAAGACTGCAGACTGGCAGTAGTCATACCCCAACCTCGTTGGACTTAGGGTGGCAATTGCAGTGCTGCCTCTCAGCACTGTTGAGTGTGAGAGAGGCTTCTCTCGACAGAATCTCATCAAAACGTGGTAGAGGGGCAGTATTAAGGACTGTAGGCTCAGTGACCAAATTGTGCATGTCTGTGCTAGACTATGAGCTAGATTTGCCACCAGTTGTAGAGATTTGGCGCAGCTACAAGAAGCGCGGGCATGTCACAGCACCTGCTGCAAGACACATGGAGCCCCCAAGAGCTAGGAAAGAGCATATAGAGGACAGTGTAGTTGAGCGTGCTCCTGTAGAAGCTGTTTTCTTAGACTCTGATTCAGATACGTGAGTGAGATGTTATATAATAGTGCCTTAATGAAAATGCATAATCAGCTTAAAATTTGGATGTAACACTGATAGCTCAGCCTTAAATTTTGAGTTGTCTAAATATTCAGCCTAAAAATTTGAGTCAACGCTCGCAGACAAAATTCCAAGAGGAGTGTACGCTGATCGATCAGCGTGCCTCAAAACGAATCTAGGGGCCTGTTCCTAAAGTATTTCGTTTCTAAGATGGCATCAGTAGTAGGTTCGTTTCTAGCCTAAGAAAACACGCCTCTCCCACCCCGTAACGCACCTCGCCTTGCCTCGTCCGTAGCGCGTCCCGTAACGCCCTTTAACGCCCCGTAACGCCTCAAAACGCCTTGTAGCGCGCGCCGCCCTCGCCAAACACACGCGCGCGCGCATAGGATGCCACAAGCTGCCCCCCCCCCCCCCTCGCCTTTTCGTCCCGTCACGCGCCCTGTTTTGCCGCACGCATGCCACTGCAGCACGCATAGCCGCGCACGCAGTCAACAGCATAAGAAGCTGTGAGCAGGCAGCGCGCAGAGCAGCAGCAGCCACAAGCGTGCGCACCGCATGCACACCAGCAGCAGCCGCAGCCACACACGCAGCAGGTGCCGCCGCAAGCGCAGCAGCCGCCGCCGCCGCCGCGCGCCACTGCAGACCATACCCGCGTCCCGCCCCGTCACATGCTGCGCCCTGCCCTGCCGCCCGCGCGCGCAGCCTTACACATGCCGCCGCACTTAAGCAGATGCACGCAGCAGCAGCTGTGCACGCATCCGCAGCTGCCTACGCATTAGGAGCCGCGCGCAACAGCAGCAACTGCACGTACTGTTAAGAAAGAGAGTACAGTGGAATGGTTGACTAACAGCAATGAATGTGTACAAGTACTAACCCAAATGGGTTGTACCTTGTATGGGCTACCCCACTACAGCCTAGACAACAATATATATAGTTTGACACACCACCATAGGCGAAGTGGGGGACAGCAAGAACAACAAGCGGTCACAAGACCAGTCAAGAGAAGAAGCAAAGCAAAGCTCATGGTGGATCACAAAGTCACCACACAGTCCGAGCACAAGCAAGTGGCCACAAGGCCAGTTCACATGTGGAGTTATATAGAGCACATGCAGTACAGTGACGGGGCTGGAAGGAGCACTAGATCTGCCAGGTGGTGGCAGCGACAACTCCGGCTGAGGCCGCCGCTGTACAGGCTGCGCAGCACTAAAACGTCATGTACCTCCAGCTCCAGTACCTTCCACTCCACTACCTCCAGAGTCAGAAGAATGAACGAGAATGAATGCATTGAGCAGAAGTTGGGTACAAGTACTAACCCTAATTGGGTTGTACCCCTTATGGGCTACCCCACTATAGCCTACACAAAGTAAGCAATATAATATTCTGACACACCCCCATAGGCAAAGTGGGGGAGAACAAGTGGTCATAAGACCAGTCAAGAAAAGTAAAGCAAGCTCAGGGTGGATCACAAAGTCACCACACAGTCCGAGCACAAGCAAAGGGCCACAAGGCCAGTTCACATGTAGTGTTATATGAAGAGCATAAACAATACAGCGATCATAGCCTAGCAAGAGTAAGCATGCAGGTATATATTTAGATCACAGTACAAGCAAAGTCACGCGGTGAGCAAGTGAGGCAAATTAGGCACAAGGCCTAAAACAGTAGAGAAGGGTCAGAATAGTGAACGAATGAATGACCGAACTAGGAAGCAGGTGGGTACAAGTAGGAAACCTAGAAATGTTGTACCCTATATGAACTACCCCACTACAGCTTAGAAAGATTATAGTGTATAAGTTTGACACACCCCCATAGGCAAAGTGGGGGAGAACAAGAGGTCACAAGATCGGTCAAGAAAGGCAAAGCAAGCTCAGGGTGGATCACAAAGTCACCACACATTCTGAGCACAAGCAAATGGCCACAAGGCCAGTTCACATGCAGAGTTATATAAAAGAAAACAAGCAATTCAGTGAACACAACCTAGCAAGAGTAAGCATGCAGGTATATGTATAGAGATCACTATACAAGCAGAGTCAAGAAGTGAGCAAGTGAGGCCAAGTAGGCACAAGTCCTAGCATAGTACACAAGCGCTGATGATCACAAGGCTGAAGTGCCTTGGTAAAGAAGTTAAGACTGACACAGCCAGAGCTCGACGAGTTAAGGAAGCAGTTAGATTACCTGTTAGAGAAGAAATTCATCCGACCGAGCTCGTCACCGTTCGCCGCACCGATCCTGTTCACACCGAAAAAGGACGGAGGATTTCGCATGTGCATCGACTACAAAGCACTGAACAGGGTTACAGTCAAATCGCGATGTCCCATCCCCCGCGCCGACGAACTGATAGATCAACTGCGAACAGCGAGAGTCTTTTCGAAAATCGACTTACGAGGGGGTTACCATCAGATTCGGGTCGAACCATCAGACTGCGCCAAAACGGCATTTAGGACTAGGTACGGGTCATTCGAGAACACGGTGATGCCCTTCGGGCTGACCAACGCACCGGCGACATTTCAGATGACTATGAATGATGTGTTTAGACCACTCTTAGATAAATGTGTGATCATTTACCTCGACGACATTCTCGCCTACAGTCATGACAAGCAGTAGCATTTAGCCGATTTAGAAGCATTATTTACAGTTTTAGACAAACACAGACTACTGACCAAAGGTTCCAAGTGCGAGTTTTTTCAGGATAGGCTAGAGTTTTTGGGACACGTTATTTTCGGGGCTGGAGTCGAAATCGACCCGAAGAAACTGGATACTGTGAAAGCGTGGAACCCCCCTAAGAACATCACGGAGCTGCAGAGTTTCTTAGGGTTTGTTAATTACGTGCGTCGGTTCGTCCCCGACATGGCACGCTTAACTACCCCACTGACGGATTTACTGCGGAAGGGGGTCACTTTTACATGGGGGGAGAAAGAGCATGCTGCCTTCTCTACCCTAAAGAATGTTCTCTGTTCACCGCCCGTACTGCGCATCGCCGACCCACACCGCCCATTCGAAGTGGTTACCAATGCAAGCGACATCACCATTGGAGCCGTACTGCTACAAGATTTCGGCAACGGTTTACAGCCCATCGCATACGAGTCATGAAAACTGCATCCGCCCGAGAAGAATTACCCGATACACGATCGCGAAATGCTTGCGATCGTGCATGCATTCAAAGTGTGGCGCTGTTACCTGACCGGTGCAGACGTGATTGTACGGACAGACCATAACTCACTACAGCACCTCCGCGCACAGCCCCACCTCAACCCACGACAAATTCGCTGGCTCGACTACCTCGAGTCAAACTTTCACTACACGGTCACCTACAAAAAAGGGGCATCGAACATCGCCGACGCATTAACCCGGCCCACAGCCCAAGTCCACGCCATACTACTCGCCCAGACCAGCCCACTGATAACAGGACTATTTACCCACGGTTATCAGACTGATCCATTTTTTACAGGCGGAAATTCGCAGCAGTTTGCAGCGGCAAGAGGAGTCTACTACGTAAAAGCCGGCACCGATCGCATCTGGGTACTGGGCTATACACTCCTACGGGAATTACTATTGCAAGAGGCACACGACGGAGTCACCTCAGGCCATTTCAGAGTAGAAAAAACACGGCAGCAGTTGCAGCGGTACTACTATTGGCCCGAAATGTTGACCGACGTGCAACGACACGTGGCATCGTGTCCCACCTGCCAAGTCATGAAATCATCACGGAAGCGACTGGCAAGACAGCTGCAGCCGATACCACCCCCAGAGCGTGCTTGGCAGCAGGTGACGATGGATTTCGTCACGGGGTTACCGGCCGGAGCAAGTGGGAACGACGCGATCCTGGTCGTCGTCGATCGATTGACGAAAATGGTGTCAAAATAGTGAACGAATGAATGACTGAACTAGCAAGCGGGTGGGTACAAGTAGGAAACCTAGAAATGTTGTACCCTATATGAACTACCCCACTACAGCCTAAACAGACTATAGCATATAAGTTTGACACACCCCCATAGGCAAAGTGGGGGAGAACAAGAGGTCACAAGACCGGTCAAGAAAGGCAAAGCAAGCTCAGGGTGGATCACAAAGTCTCCACACATTCTGAACACAAGTAAATGGCCACAAGGCCAGTTCACATGCAGAGTTATATAAAGGAGAACAAGCAATACAGTGATCACAACCTAGCAAGTGTAAGCATGCAGGTATATGTATAGAGATCACAGAACAAGCAGAGTCAAGAAGTAAGCAAGTGAGGCACAGTAGGTACAAGGCCTAGAACAGTACAGAAACGCTGATGATCACAAGGCTGAAGTGCCTAAGTGAAAACATCAGCAGTGTTGGCCCGAGAGGCCAAGTAAACAAGACGAAGCTGGCCACGCTGCTGCAACTCTCGAGCAAGGAAGTAGCGCAGAGCAATGTGTTTCGTTCTGTGCTCTAGTCTGTGCTCCTAACACAAGGCAAGC